GAGTAGTAATTGAATTCCAATCAAACTCTGATTACTAACCCATTAAATATCCCTGCTATTCTCTTTTACAGGTAATGCACATAAGCAGAAGTTAAACGTGAATTGAGAGCAAAATAGCAAGGCGATTTTGCAAGCAATTTATATGTGATTCAAGCGTGCAATCCTGAAGCTACTTGAACAAGATAGAAGAACCAGTTCCAAGTGTCTGTCTTTTATTTCTAGTTCAATTATAGTAGGTGATTTTACATTGTACCTTTCAGCTTTCATAGAAGCAATTGTATTAGGTAATTAGAGTTTCAAGTTAGCGTTAACTTGAAGTTGTCGCAACAGTTGAGGCTGTGTGCCACAACGGGATTAGAGTTAATCCTTAGGTTTACAAAGAGTTTTGTAAATGCTGTTTTGGCTCAGTGATTTTAGTGGAAGTTTGGGAAAATCCTACTGAGTAGTAGGTCGTGATTTTTTCAACTTTTGAGCCAGGTGTTTTCCACGTAAAAATCTCTGTGTTCTTTATTTTCTTTATTTATTATTTCGCAAACAGTAGTAGTTGGAACACATAGAAGAACCAGGTCCTTCTATAGTTCAGTTAAGCGAAAATTGGGTACCATATAAATCACCACCCCTCTTGTGTGGTATTGACGTTTAAAATATCAACATTAAAAGAAGCTGACTCTGAATTGAAATGAGGAGTAGAATTGACATGCCTTTGACTCTCATCTTGAGTAGTATATTATATGCATTATCAAGTAAGGAAGTGGTTGCATCATTAGAAGGTTACTTCTGACACTAATATAAGTTTCATTAAGCCCTATTAGGAATTGATACAACTTGTCCTCCTCCAACTCTCTTTGTAGAGCACAATTGCAAGGATTAATAGGATTTTTACGCATGAAAGCTAACTCATCCCACAATTTCTTTATTTTTTAAAATATGATGCTATGTCAAGAGGTCCCTGACAAGTAGAAGCCAATTATTTCTTAATCTCGAACACATTAGTTCCATTAACTGTACCATATCTACTTTCTAGTTGTTTCCAAATGCACTCAGCAGTCTCAGAATACTCAACACTCTCGGCTATATCAGAGGATAAAGAGCTAGTTAATCAGGAAATCACCATATTATTTCACCGATTCCAGAATTTCAGCTCAACAGCATTATCAGGAAGTTTAGGACAATTACCATCTATGAACGCTATTTTATTCTTAGCTGACAAAGCAACCACCATTTTCCTCTTCCAACCCCCAAATCCAGTACCAGAAAATGGTACAGGGACTAGACAAGTCCCAGGGATATCAGACGAATGTATGAATAGAGGACTAGATGGATCTGGGGAATATGTAGAAGTCGAAGCACTAGAATCATCCACAGTCATATTGAAATCAATAGGGATAATAGGGAATTTTTCTAATGCAAAACCCTAACAGCAACAAAACCAAAAGCGACACCACAATATATGTGAGAATATGGATAGAAATACCACACTTCTTCGCGACCGGAAGAAGAACGACCTTGAGATTCACCAGAACACCCAGATATAGCTCAAACACCAGAAATTCGATCTTACCCAGACTGAATCGAAATCCTCCTCTGTGTTTCTTCAATCCGTGTAAGAGATACACCAAAAATAACTGCAAATTGAAAAAATCTGACGAAATTGATGAAACTTAAACGAGAAGAAAAATTTAACCAAACTTTATAAGGGTAGTATCGAACGAATGCGGAGGACAGGATCTACATGAATCCTCGCTCTGATACCATGAAAACTTTGGAAAAACATGAAATCGCCATGAGAAATTAGCTAGGGTTTTTTAAGAGAACAGTAAGAAAAGAACGGAGAAGAAGCTTCTCGACTGAACGGAGAAGAAGCTTCTCGACTGAACGGAGAAGAAGCTTCTCGACTGATTCATTATTTTCTGATATCATAAAGTGTCAAAATATCTACAAAAGAAGTTATATATACATTGAGACAAAACCTTGAATGCTAAGTGGACTAATTGGACTAAACTAATAAAAGACTATACAAATAAACTTATACAACTTGGGCCTGTTTTTGCCGAGGCCTAGAAGCCAAATAGTCTCCAAGTCCAACAAGTGTCTCGTAGGAATTAATTAAAACGACCCCTACCAGTTCTATATAAGGGAATAGATCATAATTTCTTTTCCATTTATTTTCGTCTGTGGAAAATACTAAGAATAAGTGTGGGGGGCTATTAAGAATTCTTGAAACTTGTGGGGCTGACTTAAAAATCTAACAAATAAAGGTCCACTTTTGGATCCAAACATCTATAAATGACTTTCTCTCTTCTCGTCAAAATTCAAAATGGCATGGGTTGGGACGAAACCCAACCACCATAGACACGAAAAGCAGCAATTTGAAGTAAGATAAACAAAGAGTGACGCCGAGGAGGTTGATGCAATTGATGGACACACATCAACTGACCAAGAAAGAAAAGTTAAAAGTGTTATCGATGTGGTTTGTTCACACCATCTTGTTGGCATGTGATAGCTTGAAAAGAAGTGGATAAAAGAGCTGTTTGTTTTGTACTCGTTTATCCACTTCTTTTCAAGCATCAATATAAAGCTTAGTACTCCGCCCGTTTCATATTAAATGAGTTACTTTCCTTTTTAGTCTGTTCCAAAATAAATGACACATTTTTAAATTTGGAAATAATTCAACTTTAAACCCTCATTTTACTCATTTTACCATTAATGAGAAGCTTTTATAACCACACAAAAGTTATGGCCCCACAAAATTTTACCCCTTAAGCTTTTAAGATCACAAATTTCAAAAGTCTTTCTTTTTTTCCTTAAACTCCGTACCGAGTCAAACTACCTCATTTAATTTGAAACGGAGGGAGTAATATAGTACAAAACAAGCAGCGATGTAAAGCTCTTTTATCCACTTCTTTTAAGTTATCACATGCCAACAAGATAGCGTGAACAAACCACACCAATATTGCCTTAAATTTCTCCTCGGTCAATTGTTACCTGTCCATCAATTGCATCACTCCTGGGGTGATCCTCTGTTTTTTACCTCGTAGTTGATCCTAGAACTTCTCACCATTCTTATGGATCTTCTTCAGCTTATTCTTCTTTGGGAAATCCTCACAATTTAACTCGGTGACCAGCGAAAACTTCCTTGGCACAAAACAATAGGGCATTCTCTTCAATATAAACCCTATCTCTTGCTTCTTCTCATATTTCCTAACTTGACGAAGAAAAGAGAATGAACCATTTTTCTACTGAATCCAGTTCAGTTTTTTGACAGCTTCCAGAAGTGCCCTGAACAGCTGTTTTTAAATTAGATCTTGCTCCTGCAAGCAACCATGGGCGAAGCTAGGTTGGCCCAAGGGTGACCACCCTTCGCCGAAAAATTATACTATGTATAAGGTAAAATATTACTTGTTATTGATTAAAAATAGACTTTGAACACCCTTATTGAATTTCCTGGCTTCGCCACTACCTACGACAGTCTTTTGAACTTGAAAAAAAATTGCATTCTTGACCTTACTAAGATCTTGGCAGGGAAAGAATTACCAAACATATGCCGCCATGTGGTCAATCCATACACGTCCAAAACAAATTGCACACCCTAAAGCCTTTATATGTTAGGTTTTAAGTCAGAACAACAATTAATATTGCAGTTTTTTCTACATATGTTCTGCCCGATATTGGATGGAAATTGACTTTGCGCTTTTATGTGGTGAGTTCACTCAAAACTCAGCCTAAAACCATAAACAAATTGCATCACTTACAGGAAATCATAGTAGTGCAGTTTGTTAGCTACTTGAACTTTCATCTTGTTGGTGTCTTGGTGAAGATCCGATTCCCACCTTACAATCGCCTCCCCCCTTTGTATAATTTAACAAAAATTGAATTACCTGCACAAGAACAATTATGCAAACTGTTCTATTAAATGAAATAATTGTCCCAGATGTGGCATGCTTATCTTGTCTTTTTATTTATTTCTTTGAGAAAATTAGGCATATGAAATACAAATTAGGAGTATCCAATAGCCATGCATAAGCAGTATTTGCTTGAGTGTCATCTCTCTTGTTAATTGATTACATGTGACAAACCTAAAATCACGTGGAGAAAAATTGAATTGAAAGACCTGGCTATTGGGAAGACAAAACCCCATTCTAATTCTGGGATCCATGGACTCTTGCTCAAAGATACAGAAAAGGACTAAAGACGAAGAAGAAGAAGAGCTCATTTGACACAAGGGTAAAGTTTGGTCTGTTCGATACATTTGATGTCTGAAAATCCTTGTAAAGGTTTGAGTAGCTGAGATCAAGACACGTGGAGGACATCAACGGTGACTAGACCAAACCTATAAAGATATTGGACTTGTTTGGGCTTCTGTATTATTTTGGGCTCATATCTATTGGGCTCAATGAATTATTTCGTTTGGGCTCACAGGAAGAAGCTGAAAACAAGATTAGTATTAGTCTTTTTATATTTCTGCACATTTTTGTCTATTTTGTAAATAACATGTGGGTTTGTTATAGAGTAGCCAATAGGATGATAGACAAGTGTACAGGTAGTTATACCTTAGATTCCATTCTTTGCTGCATATAAGGATTAGTCTGTACAGTCCATAAATTCAATTGAAATATACAGAAAATTTCTCCAGCTTCTCTATCTTTTTCTTTCATGGTATCAGAGCAGCTAGCTTGATCCAGTAATACAATCAATTAATCTATCTATTACATCAGTTTCTTCAATAGAACAAAATGGGTGACACAACCATTACTGCAGAAACCAGTAATGCTGCAAAGGCTGTGACCTATGATGTTAATCACCCCTATCACCTCAATAATTCTGATTCTCCGGGTATGACTCTAGTCAATACTGTATTTGATGGAAGAGGATACCCAGGATGGAGAATATCCATTCTCTTGTCTTTATCAGCTAAGAAGAAGCTTGGATTCATCAATGGAGTTTGCAAATCTCCATATCTGAACTCTCCAGAACTTGAATAATGGAGTTGTGTGAATGACATGGTCATCTCCTGGATCCTTAATGTTCTCTCAAAAGATATTGCAGATAGTGTCATTTATTCCAAAACTGCAAAAGAGCTTTGGGACAGCCTTGAGCAGAGATTTGGGAGATCAAATGGAGCTAAGCTCTATCACCTGCAAAAAGAATTATCAGGATTAGTACAGGGAAATAGTGATATTGCAGGATATTTCACTAAGTTCAAGCGTTTGTGGGATAAATTGGATGCTTTGAATGTCATTATATGCTGCTCTTGTGTTTGTGTTTGTAAAGGAAAGGCAAAGTTAACTAAGTCATTAGAAGATCAGAGGTTGATCCAATTTCTAATGGGACTAAATGACATCTATGCACAAGCAAGAGGAAGCATCCTCATGATGAATCCTTTGCCTAGCATGGATGTTGCTTATTCACTTCTCTTACAGGATGAAAATCAAAGGAAGTCTATGCAAATGCACATTATAACTCTCAATCAGTATCATTCATGGCAGCAGGAGAGAACAAAAAGTCTAATGCACAACTTCTAGCTGATTTTGCAGCTTTCATGATTACAGGACAAGGGAAGAACCATCAGAAGTTCAGAAACCAGACACAAAGGGGAGCAGGCATAGGACCCAAATTTAACAACTCTGGACAGAAGTTTATTAAGCCTCAGCAGAAGTTCAAATCAAAGAAGAAATACAATCCAAATGTGTCATGTACTTATTGTGGAAAAACAGGACATACACAGGAGGATTGCTACAGAATCATTGGTTTTCCTGATGATTTTGAGTTCACATATCACAAAGCATATCAGAACCAGATTAAGGGAAATGCAGTGGTGGCAAATGAAGAGCATGAAAGCCCAGCAGGACAAGGAAATGAACTTAATGGGAATAATTTTGGTCAGCAACTCAGCAAAGAGCAGGTTGCAGAAATGATGCACATCTATAAGCAAGCAAAAATGGCACAGGCAGGAAATACAGGAATCAATGCTAATTCAGTAGCAGGTACTATTCTGAAGTACTCAGGGTCAGTTTTCACTAGTTTAAAATCAGACACTTGGATCATAGATTCAGGTGCCTCAGAGCATATGTGTTTTGATCCTAATTCTTTCTTGTTTTTGTATCCACTCCCTGTACCTTTGAACATCAGTTTACCTAACTCTTTCAAGGTGATTGTTACTCACATAGGGAGCATTTCTATTCTGCCTGGTCATATTCTGAACAATGTATTGCATGCTCCAAAATTCAAGTATAATTTGTTATCAGTTCATAGGTTTTGTGTTCAATTCAAATATGATGTGCTTTTCACATCTGTTGAGTGTGTGTTGCAGGGCCTTTCAATGAAGAGTCCTCAAGCTTTTGGTGAAGTTAGAGAAGGGCTTTACTTATTGGAACCAAGTAGTATTAAGTCTAAAGGTTTATTCATTAGTGATGTACTTTCAATTCCAAAAGGAAGAAATTCCATTTCAGAGTCTGTTTCTTTTCCTAGTCCAGTCCTAGTCAATACTGTTTCAGATGTTAAGCTTTGGCATGTAAGATTGGGTCACCTCCCATTTTCAGCAATGAAACATTTAGATTTCCTTCATTGTAAATCTAATTCTGATTTTGTTTGTGATGTGTGTCCTAAGGCTAGGCAAACCAGAATTCCTTTCCCTGTTAGTAAAATAAGTTCCAAACACAAATTTGAACTTATACATATTGACACATGGGGACCTTATAAGTCAAATACTTACAATGGTTTCAGATATTTCCTCACTATAGTAGATGACTATAGTAGGGGGGACATGGACATTTTTATTAAGTGCTAAAAGTAATGCTTTTCCTATGCTTAAATCTTTCCTATCTATGGTTGAGAGACAATTCAACGAGAAGGTGAAAGTGATAAGATCTGACAATGCACTGGAACTGGGAAAGGGGACACAAGAGGCAGCTTTCCTAGCCTCTCAAGGAATTCTACATCAATTGTCTTGTGTAGCAACTCCCCAACAAAATGGAGTTGTTGAAAGGAAACATAGACATCTCTTGGAGACTGCAAGAGGTTTGATGTTTCAATCAAAGTTACATATGTCATATTGGGGAGAGTCTATCCTAACTGCCACACATCTTATTAATAAGATGCCTTCCAGTGTTCTCAAAGGCAAAACACCATATGAGGTCTTGTTTCAGAAGAAGCCTAAGTATGATTATTTAAGGAATTTTGGATGTCTTTGTTATGCTTCAACATTAGCACAGGAAGAGGAAAGTTTGATGAGAGAGCAACAGCCTGTGTTTTGCTTGGATACCCCTTCATCAAAAAGGATATAAGCTACTAGAAATATCAACAGGAAGAGTGTTTGTGTCAAGGGATGTCAAGTTTCATGAGACACACTTTCCTTTTGCTAAGAACAGACCTTCACATCAGCCCATTTTCCCAAACTCAACCTTCAGTACAGAATACACCTACTCAGCTCCACCACAGGATCATCTCTCACCTATTTCTTTAGAACCTGAACTTCCTGATAATTTTTCTTCACCATCACCAAGTTCTTCATCAACACCTCACCATTCTTACTCACCTTCTAGTCCTATTTGTTTTCCACCTATCCCAGATACATCACATACTATTATCACCTGTTCCTGAACCTAACCAGCCTACACCAGTGAGAAGGTCAGGGAGGGTTTCCAATCAACCAACCTACCTAAAAACTATGTGTGCAGTAATATCATGTTCACAGATGTAGGAGCTACTTGTTTCACTCAACCAACTAAACCTAGGGAGTACTGTTTCTCCTATCTATCTCCCAACAATCAACATGTCATGTAGTCAATTTTTACACTTACAGAGCCTAACAGTTTTGGACAAGCTTGTCAGCATCCAGGTTGGATAGCAGCTATGGATTCAGAGATTAAAGCTCTAGAAGACAACCACACATGGGATGTAGTTGAGCTACCCAAAGGGAAAAGAGCTCTACCTTGTAAGTGGGTGTACAAGGTGAAGCATCTATCAGATGGAAGAGTTGAAAGATTAAAGGCAAGGCTGGTGGTCAGGGGGGATGTCCAAAGAGAGGGTATAGATTATGGAGAGACATTTTCACCAGTGGTCAAAATGACCACCATAAGATGTTTGCTCACTACTGCAGCCAAAAGAGACTGGAATGTGTCTCAATTGGATGTCAACAATGCATTTTTGCATGGTGACCTTCAGGAGGAGGTATACATGAAATTTCCTTCAAGTTTAACACCTCCTAGTCCTAAGCATGTTTGTTTACTAAGGAAGTCATTATATGGATTGAAGCAAGCATCTAGGCAATGGTATGCCAGGCTTGCAGGGGCTTTGAGTTTTAAGGGGTATTCTTCATCATTAAATGATTATTCTCTATTTTTTAAACGAACAGGAAGTCTGATTTCTATACTAGCTGTCTATATAGATGACATCCTACTAACTGGAGATGATTTGGAAGAGATCAAACACATCAAGGATTTTCTAAACACTGAATTCAAAGTCAAAAATCTAGGAAGCATACATTATTTATTAGGGATGGAAATTCTGAGAGAAAAAGAAGGATTCATTGTGAGTCAAAGAAAATTTACCTTGGACATGCTGAATGAGTTTGAAGTTTATCACTTGGCTCGAGTAACCTCTCCTCTTGATCCTTCTTCCAAACTTCAAGTTGATGATGGAAGACCTTTGCAAAACCCCACAGTGTATCGACATCGAGTTGGGAAGTTAAACTATCTGACTAACACTCGCCCGGATCTTTCCTTTGCAGTTCTCACTCTAAGCAAGTACATGCAGAAGCCATGTCTCTCTCACTTCACAGCAGCATTGCGAGTGTTGAAATACTTGAGCTCAGATCCGGGACAAGGCATCCTTCTCTCAGCAGCACCGTCTTTTTCTTTGCTTGCCTTTTGTGATGCTGATTGGGCTTCCTGCAAGGATTCAAGAAGGTCTGTAAGTGGATTTTTCATCACATTAGGAGGAGCACCAATTTCCTGGAAATCAAAGAAGATCATTTTCTCTGTCATCTGCAGAGGCAGAATACAGATCTATGCGCAGAGTGACTGCAGAACTTACTTGGCTTGTTCGTCTTCTTGAGGATCTGTCTGCACCAGTAAATCTTCCCATACCTCTTCATTCTGATAGCAAAGCAGCCATTCACATCGCTCGTAACCCCGTCTTCCATGAACGCACAAAACATGTGGAGATTGACTGCCATTTTGTGCGTCAACAGTTCCTTTCCGGGTTAATTACACTCTTTTTTGTTCCTTCTAAAGAACAACTGGCGGATCTCTTCACAAAACCACTTTCAGGGGTTTCTCACTCAGAGATTTTGAACAAGTTGGGGGTCACCAGGTTACCCTCCAACTTGAGGGGGGATATTGGGAAGACAAAACCCCATTCTAATTCTGGGATCTATGGACTCTTGCTCAAAGATACAGAAAAGGACTAAAGACGAAGAAGAAGAAGAGCTCATTTGACAGAAGGGTAAAGTTTGGCCTGTTCGATACATTTGATGTCTGAAAATCCTTGTAAAGGTTTGAGTAGCTGAGATCAAGACACGTGGAGGACATCAACGGTGACTAGACCAAACCTATAAAGATATTGGACTTGTTTGGGCTTCTGTATTATTTTGGGCTCATATCTATTGGGCTCAATGAATTGTTTCGTTTGGGCGCACAAGAAGAAGCTGAAAACAAGATTAGTATTAGTCTTTTTATATTTCTGCACATTTTTGTTTATTTTGTAAATAACATGTGGGTTTGTTATAGAGTAGCCAATAGGATGATAGACAAGTGTACAGGTAGTTATACCTTAGATTCCATTCTTTGCTGCATATAAGGATTAGTCTGTACAGTCCATAAATTCAATTGAAATATACAGAAAATTTCTCCAGCTTCTCTATCTTTTTCTTTCATAACATCTCTCAAAATCAACACCGATTTAAGGGGGATAAACACAATGAATGTAAACAATCCGTGTAGGCAATACCAGCTAATTGAATAACTTAGATTGAGACAGTTGTTTACAGCTAGGTTTGGTTTTGCCAAAAGTTTTTTTAGTCTGGTAAGAGACTTGTATGTTTGTATTAAAATTGTCTAACGGGATAGGACGATTTAGTTGGACAAGACGCGACATAACTATTCCTTAACGGGATAAGGGGGACCGGGACACTACCGGGCCGAGATTAGCAGGGCGAACCTCTTGGCCCTTTCGATTCCACTATCTAAGGAGACGGGATGTGTCGAGGGCCCTTAGTGGAATTCTTTTATTTGTTAAATTTATATTAATTAAATATTTAAGCACTAAAAATTATTTTAAAAAAACTATGAAGTAACTAAGTAAGACATTTCTTAAAAATAAATTCAAGGCTAAAGCCTTTTAGTTTATTCAATAGAAATTTGATACACAAATACAAGCACCTAAAGAAGAGCACCTAATATACACAACCACATTCTAGGAAGGGTTTTGTTTGAACTATTTAGATATAACAAATTATCATACTAGTATCAAGTGTCAATGCCAATTCTAAAGGAATTGTTAAGGAATCGTCCCGTTAGACAACCTTAGTATAGCGTTAGTGACATTTGAAGACCATCTAGATTTAGAGAATCTTTGATTTGCATTAATAGTCAAATTGTATAGTATTGGAATAAAATGGCCCCTAATAGACCGGAATGGAGTCAGTAATCAACCTAACAGTTTGCGATATAAGCGTGGTGGTTGATTGAGAGATAGTCTTTATCAAGTTGAATATAAATTATGTCCAGTACTCATGCATGAGAGCTATTTGTTTTGTTGCGCTTTTTAACTTTTGGTTGATTGCAATGATAGTTATCCAAGATTTTATTTACAGAAAATCGCTTGCAAATCACATTTACCAAATCTCTAGTCAAAGCAGCATCTGTTGCCTTAATACTCATTGAGTTTTGTGCCTCTCTTTTGCTTTTCGCGTCCTGTTTTTTAAACGTTGACGTTATCTTTTTCAATAATTTGACGCTGTCCTTTCCTCTGTCAGCATTTTTCTCGTGCAAAATAAGTTTGGAATTTATTTATCGAAAAGTGACCGAATTGTTGGAATTTCCTCTAAGCCTCAATAAAACAAGCAATTTACGGTTAGTTGGCAGTTAACGTAAAATTAGTTATGATGAATCCTTACAATATACTTAGAATTCATAATAAAAATTTTCAAAATCGAATTTCAAATGTAATTCGAAATGGAACTTTAGAAAAAGAAGTTAGTTTTCGATTTCGTTAAAGGGAATCTTTTTTTCTGCTTAAAATAATGGTATTGAAGTTACATGTTTTTAAAAATAAGATGAAATTCTAATCTATTCGCAAAACTATATCTTAAACTTTTCATATTATTAATTCCACTTCCCTTACGAGAATATTATAACAATACAGTAAAACATACATTAGACTGATGATACATAGTATGGTACCCTAGCAGTAAATGAAAAGATAGCATTGGACCAGAAATTAAAAAAGTAATAGCGGAAGAATAAAAAACATATTATATTTATAAAAGATAATAACATAAACAAAGGAATTGCAAAAAAAAGAATATTTGAACATTATAAACCGGAGTTTCGGATGAAAGTGATCATACTATTAGAAGTTGATGCACTGCTGAGAATCGAAATGATTAACCCTTTCCTTTGATTCCAATGAAAACAATGCTGTTTTAGATTGGAAAATAATCTGATTTTTGGTTTCAAATAGTTAAATTCTATTTTTAAAAGCAAACACATAGTAATATCCAAATTTTTCAAAATTTTAATTTTCAAATCAACATGCAAAATGCATTTACGTACATGTGAACAGATTTTGATATTTGTGTTTTTCATAAGTAATCTCAGTTGTAGAATGAGTCAACAGTAACATAACGTAGGAAATGAATGGCGTATTTAATGAACTTAATTATGTGGCTTTATCTAGATTCGCGTCATACAAATGTTCACGTTTTACTTTCTCTTCTTGTTCCTCCTTTTTTTATTGTTTTTTGGTCAACCTGGTATGCTAAATCTCGATATGAATAGAAAGTTAATTAGGTTAATTAAGATGAAAGGCTTCTTTACGTGCGTAAATTTAAATTTGATGAGTTATGGTCGTTCACAGCTCTTCTTCCGTTTTGTTTATTCATTATTTGTTATAAAAAATTAGGTATGGGGATGGGGGAATTATCTTTACTAAAATAGAGGAAATGTTTAAGTTAACATCTTGGAGATTGATGTAGTACCACATGTATTTCGTTCGATAATAATACATACTCCCTCCGTTCCCATTTATGTGAACATGTTTGACGGGACACGAAGTTTAAGAA